AGATTGCGATTGAATTTCCAGAAGTTATTCAGCCTGCGAAGATCAAGATCAAGATTAGTTGGCGTTAGACTGTTGAAACGACTGTTAAACGCATATTTACCTGCCCGCCTGGCTGACCGAGGGCATTGACATTGAGAGCAAGGCGTGCTCATGGTATGCATCTAACAGTGGCTGGCGATTGTCCGAGTCGAATATGTTAAAGTATTGATCCAAAAACTGGCGGACCACCTCAGCGCCGGCGCTGTCGCACAAAAAGGATGCCTTTGCCGGTGGCAAGACGGCCGATTCGTTCAAATCGAAATGCACCTGTGGCGGCAATGTTTCCCCATCCTAAATTATTATTATCATTAGTGAGGCTTTAAGCAGTGTCTGGCTATTTCAAAGCTTGAGACTTACCAGTTTCAAAATTTTGCGAAACTTGCGACGTACTTCGCTGTAAATAGTTTGCAGTTGGATATGCGTCCGTTTTTGTTGTGGCATTAGTATTGTACAGTTGGCATACACACACACACACGCATGCATACATATATATATACACACACATGCATACAAATATGTTAAGTTATCGCACGCACATATGTATGCATATTTGTGTGGCTGTTGCAGTTGCATCATGTTGCACTGTCATTTCGAATTGCATTTGCTCCTGCCTCGCCAGACTTGCTCAATATCAATTTCTTTTTAAAATGTATAATTTAACATTACTTTTGGCATATTGTTTTTACAACTATTGAACAAGCAGATGCATCTGGTTTATGTTAGCGATTGCTTTCCGCTTGAGGCTGGGCAACTTTGCAGCGATTGTTACATTTTCAGGAGAGCCAAACTTTTAGGCAGAAATATATTTTTTTTTTTTTAATTTTTTTTCTTTTTTTTTTATTGTATTTTTTGTATTTTTGTTTTTCATTTTTTTTTTTTTTTTTTTTTTTTGTTCATTTTTTCTGACACCCAAAAGCGTAGGACAAAAGCTCACTGCTGCATCCGATCTGTTTTGTCCGTTTGTCTTTGATTTCGTTTTGTATTTTCGTTTCGTTTTGTATTTTTGTGTACAATCGTCGTTGTCGTCTGCGCCTAGCATCCGCAGGCAAAGCACACGCCCACCGCCAATCAATACACAAATGAAAGGCTTGCATAAAAACGCAGTCGACAAGCTTTTATCAGAGCCGCCTGCGCCAGCGAGTGTTGTAAAGTCGTGTTATTCTTTTCCTTTTTTTTTTTTTTGGTTTGGGGGGCGGGAATGTGATGCAGTCTGAACGTCTTTGGGGGTCAGTGTGTTTGTCTGCTGGGCGCGCGCACTCCACCGTAAAATGAAGCCGACGATATTGACGCTGCCGCTAACCGCAAGTGCAACAACAGCAACACAACAGCGCAGCGCAATTAGAAATTTGCAAATGGCAACAGCTCACAATGGAGCCGGCCGAGCGCGCGTGCGTGTGTTTGCAATGCGTGCGTTTGCGGTGCGCGCGCATGCGTCTGTGCGTTTACGTGGGTTGCTTTGTTTGGATTTATGTTTGATGCGCTTGTCCGTCACATAATATAACAGGACATCCAAACGCAGCTGCATGCTTGCCTACATACTGGAAATGCAAGTGCGTCGTAGTAAAGTCTGTTTGTATGTCTGTGTGTGTGTGCGTATGAAGTCTGTTTGGAGTTACCATATCGTCGAATTGGCAGTCAGTGTTGTGTTTGCTTTTCAGATGCATGTAGATTTTTGCTTGTTTTTTTTTTCATTGGGGTTTTTTTTTTTGTTTTTCTTGCTTTTTTTTTATCATTTTTCTCTTTTTTCTGTTTATTTTTTTCTATTTGTTTTTTCTTTATTTTTTTTTTGTTTCATTATTTTTCTATTTACTGTCAAAAGCTTGGTTCCGCCTTAGTTGCTTCTATCATAAAAATGGCAACAATTTTAAATTAATTTTCCCATGCCAACCAATGCATTTGCTTACTAAAAATGCCTGGAAATAAAAGCAGCGAGGGGTACGGACAACTGCAGTTTCCAAATTACAGTTGCAACAGTGTAAACAAAATACAGCTGAACACAGCAAATCACAATAGGAAAGAAGGATTAAATAAGAACAAGGCATTTGTCGACGGGATACGAGATCCACAACAGTTTTGACAACCTCTCTAGCCCAGTTCCCACGTTGATGATTCGCTGTCTGCGCTGCCACATCCTCTAGAATGCAGAAGGAACAAGAAATCACACCATAGTATACCTGACAAAATGCTGAGGATCCTTGTAACGTAAACGGCACGGATTATTGCGCAAGACCAGCTCCACAATCGGCAAATTGCGAAAGACCAAAAGATGGGCCAACGAAGGCAGCTGTAATCAAAGACCAGAAGACGGACAAATCTTAGAATTGAGAAGCCAACATTTTGAATTCAATGAACGCACCTTGTTATCACCCAAATAGAGTATCTTGAGATGAGGCAGACGCTTGTCGGCGCCCTTGAACGATTCCATGGTGGACATGTTGTTATCATTGAGATTGATGGCCTCCAGATCGGGAATATTGTCGCAAATGATGTCCAGCGCTGCAGTCATAACGTTAACACGAAACAGCGGGCAAAAGATGGGCTTCAGATCGGGATCGGCATGAAAGCGGGACAGATCGAGCGCCTTGGTTTGTACATTATAACGCTTGGCCATGACGACCTTCATCTTTGCCTTGAACTCCTCATCGATGGTCACCAATGGGACACCGCTGCGCACACGTGGCATCAGCCGAAACCCATCCGGCAGCTGTGCATGCCGCCCCAGCTGCTGTATACGCTCGGCCACCTCAAAGTCATCCGTAAAGAAGACGGCACAATGGCGCTCCGAGCGCCAATATTGCGGTACAAACACATGCGGTGACATTGCCGCCAACAAGGCACGCAACAGCGTCTCCTTTTCATAGATCTGGCCATTGTGTATCTGTATTATCCATTCGTCAGGAGATATGCGAAAAAAAAACGAAGGAAATGTCGCTTATTAAACACAAGTTCAAGTATAATTTTAAAACAATTGAATGGGGGACATTTCTAGAGATTTGCTATAAAGAACTTCCGTACATTTTACACATTTTACATAGCCCCGGCTTAGTATCGACATTCGGTAGGAAGCTTCAATTTACAACTTCTTATCGCTTAGCCTATGCGTCATCCGTGATCAATCGGGCAGTGCGTCAGTCAGTCAATCTCTCAGACAGGGCTAACTCTCCTATATAGACTATTGTAGCTATATAATCGATTTTACATCTGACTCCGATTCGCCTTCCAAAGTAAATGAGTCAATTGCCCTAATTTCGGTGTTCGATTACGGGAAATGTGAGTTGGCCCCATTTGAAGCATTGCATTTTTTCCAGTTATCGTATCGTTTGTTTTGGTCCCATATTTTTGGGCATTATATATTTGTTGCTATTGTATGGTTTATTGTATTTCCGTTGCTCATTAAACGCTACACTCCCAATTACTCAATATTTGCATACCAATTCGAAACGATTTTGACTCGGTGACTGGCCTGGGGCCTCTTTGTGTTTTAATTACTTTTGGGTGCGCTTATCTTCAAGTGTCTATGATTTAATTATGAGCATTTTGATTATGATTATGACGCACAGGCACACACACAGACACACACACACTCACATCCACCCACTCAAAGACACACACAGACACATTAGCTTTTCTTGTGTAGATCTCTGTTCAGGAACTACGCAAAGCCGATTTCAAGTGACTGTGCGCTTTAGCTTTCTTCTATTGTGGGTATATTAAGATCTGTCGCTTCCTTAGTGCAGAGAACAATTCTTTAACTAAGTTTAACTAAGTTCAAACTAGATCATATACCGTTATTATACACTATGTATACTACGTATGTACATAGTATTTGTGTCACACTCATTCTGGCGATGAATCCGTTGTGCTCATTAGATAAAAAAAAAAGGTGAGTGTACTCGGCTAGTAAATACTCTGTAACCAAGTGCACAACATAAATATAATATATACTTATTATTCTTCTTTCGCTTTGCCTAATCAACTCGACCCGGTAACGTATGTTTATAGATTGGGTGTGGACACAACTGCAATATACCCGTTTAGCCATATTGAGTGGGTACAGGGTATACAATAAATAAAAAGAAGATGGGCGTAGCTATGACCGACCACTTACTACTCGGTTCCATTCATTTTCATTTTGCTGCGCATATGCATATGCGATAAATTTATTTATTATGAAGCATTAGTGTTTGTTTATTATGTTTATCACTGAATTTGCCATTTGGACACTGTCGATAGACACTCTAATTCATTTTTATTTTGCCTGCCCTCATTTGGGCGACGCTTAAAATCCTTAAAATTTTTCAATCAAAGCGCTTTGCGTTAAGTTTTGCTAGCCGTTTATATGTAGGTATCTGTTAGTATCTGTTATCTGTTAGTTGGGGTTGGTCTTGAGTTGTTTGATAAGCCTCAAATGAATATGTTAAGGTACTTGAGTACCTACTGAATTAGTCATTGAATTAGGTTTGTTATATAGAATTTAATTAAACAATTGTGATCTTTAACAAATATTTGTAAGAAATGCTCAAAGAATAGATCAGATATGAGAGACCGAAACGGTTATATGAAACATTTGCTAAAAAAAAAAGAATCATGACTCCTATCGGAAATTAGATGAGCTGCGACGACGACTGCGACTGAGATTGAGAGAGGATGAATGGGTGGGTGGATGGATGGATGGATGGATGGGTGGGCGGTTGATTGGTTGCCTGGTTGGGTGTATTGGCGAGTGAATGAGTGCGTACATGGGTTGGTTAGTATGAATCTATGAGTATATAAATGCCGCTTTTGTGCACAACAATGAGAAATACGAGCGCCCACTGAGACACATGTATTTCCAGAATTGATATGACTGATGACGCCGACGCGTCAACAGCGACGCCGATGGCGACTGCGACTGCCACTGCTACTGCGACGTAGCGTCAACGGCAACTGGGCTGGCTAACAAGCGCGCACCGGCAAACGCAGCGCCATTCGTTAACAGCCGTGCGAGGTTAAAGCAACAACCCAGCAACCCACCCACAATTCACAAAAAAAACCAACCCACACACACAATTACAAAAAAGAAACAAAATGGGCAGCTGTTGCTCAAAGGATTTGGATGATAAGCGCTCATGGAGTCCCGAGGAGACCAAAAATGGCGTAAGTCCCAGGCAATGCACTTAAACTTCATGTTAAACCAAAATCACATGCGAATTCATACACAGAGCACCACATCGACTATCATAGCACAGCCCATGGATGATGTGGGCACAACGGGTGTTTTTACGTTAACGCGCACAACAACAACAACGACAACAACAACAACGAAACAACAGCAACAACAAGAACAAGAACAAGAACAACAGCAACACACAACAGCACATGCAGTTGATGCTGATGCAGATCCTGAGGCTAAGCAGTAGCCACACGCTCCAACACTCCAAAAGCTCTTAATTCCAATTTCCTTCTATTTTTTTTTGTTTTACTTTTTTTTTTTTACCTAATTCCATAATTTTGTTAACTAAGCATATATGTACATACATATATATATATATATATATACCATATATAAATAATTTTTTTTTTAAAGAAACATTTGTGACATGTGTGTTTGCTTGGCAAGAGGCAGAGGCAGAGCCAGAGCCAGTGCGTGCGTGTGTGTGTTTGTGAATATATGTACAATGATTAATACGTTGTTGCCAGCTAAAGAGTACTGTTATTATTATGCTCAAAGAGAGTTGAACCGTGTAATAAACAATTAACGGTTAGCGTTTTCAACAACTATGTGTTTTTCGTTTTGCCTAGAATCTTTTTAAAAAAACAAACGAAATCCAAATCGAAATTGGGCTAGGAATCGAGACGAAAATTGCCGGCGCGATAAGAGCCGTTACCCTGCTGCCCACCCACCGACCATCCGCCTGTCAAAGCTCAGCTGCACACGCATTCGCACATTGCTTGTCGATGACATCAGGGCCTGATGCCGCCTGTTGATGCACAGAGAACAAAATTGAAAGAGAGAATAGAAGAAAAAGAGCGGGAGAGCGCAGGAAATGCCCATGCCCATACATACGCACCCACACACACGCACACACACACACACATGCAAGGTAAAACACACCCATGCAGTGGCTTTGGGCTTATTCTGGACGCTTCGTGACTCAGTTTCTTATGAGTTTCTGTGCCAATTCTCTCATTGGGACTTTTCGCGCAAATGGTTTTGGCCTAGAGCAAAAACAAAACAAAAATACATTTAACAAGTAAATAAAATGGTGACTAAGCTGCCACCTTGCACGTGCGTTCTGTTATAAATGCACTTGCTGTTGCTCTCCCTGCACTCATTAACAATAAAAATAACAATTATAATACTAACAATAACAATGCCAAATCGAAATCGAAATGCTGTCGTCTCATAGTTTGCATACTGTAATTCATTCGCATATTTACATATTATATTAATTAACCAATGTTATATGTAAAACATGTACTGCCAGTTAATATGCAAATGGTTAACCAGTAATTGGAATTTTTATAAATTTATATTTGTATATAATTGAATCAATCTTATAGAACGGAGATTCCTGTTTGCTCAATCAAACGAACAAGATTTATATTGAAATTTAAATATTTAAAATATAATGTGGAACAATGTTTTAAAATGTTTGCAGATGTCAAAGAAAAAGAAACAAACAAAACAACAATTGAACGATTTTTTGTTATATAAAGAGAAATAAAATGGACTATATGGTTATTTATTGATTTCAATATTTGAAATTGTTAAAGCCGTTAACTTTTGCTACAGCAGCGTTGCCATCTAACTAAAAGCCGGCTGGCATGTCATGCAAGTCGTAGCGTATCATTAAAACCTCAGCCCGAATGCATGCAACAAATTCGATTTCAAATTTAAGAACAACAAAATGCGTTGCGTTAAAACTTAAAAAAAAAGAAGCCAACTAAAGATAAGATTGTACACAAAATTATTACATTGGTGTATTATATATATATTTATATATATGTGTGTGAGTACAAGATTAGATGAGAGCAAAGAATTTGCCAACACATCTACGTGTGCATTTATATAGGTGTGCATTTATATATGTGTGTATTTCTGTGCGTATTTATTTATGTACATGTGGACAAATGCAGAATATACAATGTCCACATATAGAACAGAAATTTTGTATTAGTAAATCAAGCAACAAAATAAAAAACAAACCAAACCAAACCAAACGACGCAGAAAAGGCAATTAAAGAAAATGCAAAACAAGGGAACGACATGCATACATGCATATATATATATATTATATACGTACATGTATACGCATTTATATAGATAAAACAATTTGAACATCAACAAGAACGACCCTAAAGTCAAACGAGGAACAAGACACACACAAAACCGAACCGTGGACCGTCGATTGTGAACGGGTTGCGAGGGGCGGTTAGCTGGGCACAAATGATAGAAAACAGAAATTGGAGCGCACCGCCGCCCCCGCCGATTGTTAGGGGGCCGGCGGGTCCGGCACGGCCCCGGCCTCGGCGCGATCAGCCGACGGCAGCAAATGTTAAGTTTGTGTGCGGTTGTCAGTGCAAACGCGACCCTCCGACAAGTAGGCAGCCAGACGGATCAGCAAACGCGCACCAAAAACTATCAAATCAAATCAAATCACAACAAATTAATCATCTGCAGGCCAAAAGTGATCATGCAATTTAGCGGATGCCTGGCCATAGTGCTCCTGGCTTCCATAGCCCTAACTACGTCTTTGCCCATGGCCAACGAGGATGAGCTCGTGGCACTGGACTCTGTCGAGCAGGTCGAACAGCCGCAGGATATGCGGCATATCTTGAAAATAGCGCCCAAACAGGCGGACACCGAGTTGGCTGAGGAGCGGACTGGCGTCTACGATACCATAGTCGAGGAGCTGCGCGCCGCCGGCATACAAACGTCGGAGCAGAAGCCACTGCCAACGCTCAGCTACAAGGAACTGACTCGTCTGCTAGCTCTCTGGCACATGACGCAGGGGCGCAACTTCTACGAGGCCGAAGGACAACATGCTCATGGAACGGAACAGTTTGTAGCAGCAGCCACAACACGGCCCATTCCAAGCTAGGCCCGACAGAGTCATCTATTTTGTAGGTTGTGATTTTATGACGAACTTTATTACCAAGCTATATCCATTGTTCATGTAAAATGCGATGCACTTAATCAAACAATAAAAAAAAAATCAAATAAATTAAAATTGTGCTTATGCCAGTGTACGTTGCTTAAACGCCCCCGCCCCCGCCCCCGCTGCCGACGCTGGTAATGTGTCCTGCCAGTCCGGCGGAGGTGCCGTAGGCTTCGGCTCCTTAACGCTGCTGCCGCTGCTGCTCCTGCTGCTGCTTCTGTGGCTGCCGCTGCTGGTGTTGGTCACGACAACACGCGGCATTTGGCGGCGCTGCAAACGCTTGGCAATGGGCGGCACAAAGAGATCATGCTTGATCAGTGTGCAGTCCGCATCCTGATAGATGTGACGATTGCTGTCCCAGTTGAAGGCCGCAAACAAGCAGGACAACAGCCAGCCGCCGAAGAAAGCAATGAGAAAACCGAGTGGGGCATACCACATGTAGCTGATGCGGTAAAGGTAGAAATAGGACGTTTCCGGTTCAGGGTCCGGGGCAGCTGTGAATTGTGCATCCGCTTGCAGGAGGAGTATGTCGCGGGCAAAGCTGCGTTGAACGGGGCAGCCAGCAATGGACATGTCCAGGCTGGGTATCGGCGGTCTCGGCTGACCGAAACCAATCCAGAAGGATGCGGCTAGCGATATAAGTAGACCGCCAATGGCGCCTTTCTGATTTGCCGACGTCACGTACATGCCCAGCGTGAAGAGACCCAGCAATGGACCGCCAATGATGCCAAAGATGGACAGCGCCGCCTGCAGTAGCCCGCCAATGGAGCCAGCCAAGAACGCCATGCCAACACAAAGTGCGCCATAGAAGACAGACAACAGCTTGGAGTACCACATGGTCTGGTGATCGTCGAGCGAGCGTTTCGTGCAGCAAAGCATTAGCGGCTTCAGGTAATCCTCCAGCGTGACTGCAGCCAGCGAGCTGATAGCCGTGCTGATGGTCGACAGGCTGGCACAAAAGATGCCGGATACAAAGAGGCCCGCCAGGCCGTCATAGTCACCCATGGTGTCAACCACAAACAGCGGCATAATCTGATCCCGAGAACTGACACGGCCTGCCAGCAACGGATCACAGTCGCGATAATACCAATAGATGCACAGGCCCGATAAGCAGGTGCTGATGCTTAGCAGGCACAGAATGGGCAAACACCACCAGAGTGCGGCACGTGCTGAGCGCAGATTGCGTACAGCCAGTAGGCGTTGCACCTGCGCCTGATTCACACCATAGATGGCCAGATAGGTGGCGCAGCCGCCCAGGACCTGCGTAAACCAGGTGTGCCGTGTAGTTGGATCAATACTAAAGTTATTAAATTCGATACGTCCATTCTCCACAGCCGTACGCCACACGACACCGAAACTGCCGGCCTTGATCCACGCACAGATGATGACACTGAAAACGGCAACAAACATCAGGATCGACTGGTATATGTCTGTCATGAGCACCGCCTTCATGCCACCCAATGTAGCATAAATGGTGCAGACCACGCCAACAATTATCACCGAGAAGATCTGATTCAGGCCAGTGACTGCCTCCAGCGCCAGTGCCGGGGCATACACAACAATGCCCATGTAGAGTATCATCTGTATAGAAAAGGCCAGCGATGCGGCCAAGCGGGTGGCATAGCCAAAGCGCAGCTCCAGATACTCATAGACGCTGGCGGTTTTCAGGCGATAAAATACCGGCAGTATTAGATAGGCGGCAATGGGCGTTGATATCACATAGGAGAGATTGATGATGACGAACATGGTGCCATACTGATACATCTCCATGGAAACGCCAAGTATTGTAACAGCCGACATGAAGCTGGCCATTAAACTGAATGCAACTGGCGTAACGCCCATGGAGCGATCAGCCAGAAAATATTCCGTTGTGTTGCTCTGTTTTTTGCCCACGAATCGATAATAGATCCCGATAACAATGGAGATGATCAGGACTACGGCCAGGATGATATAGTCCCAGGCGCCAAGAGTGGCCATTCTAGCTGCTGATCTCTTCTTCTTCGACGGGTTGGCAGCACAATTGCAGGCTATGCGAACGAGAGAGAGAAAGAGAGAGCGATGCGCGCGTTTCTGCGTTTCTCAACACTGCAGATCGTCAGCGTATTATTGGGCGTGCACAAAGCTGTTAATTTCCTTGCCCTTTAATCGACAGACAAACAATATTTGCTTGTTGATAAGCGCAGGCGATAATACCCAGCAATATCAAATACATGTAGCAGCTGCAAGTCCAACTTGCTCTCGAGATTCTGCTTGCGCTGGCGAACACGCGCGCGTCTTTAACGTTTGCCGGCCGTCAATGAAATGACCCAAATACCCAGCCAACGACTGCACAATAAACCAAAACTACACAGCTTTAGCGGCTAAAAGGAAACCGCGCTGCGCTGCCACTTTTTATAGCTTCATCGGGCCGCCGCTGAGAGATAGCAGCTTAGCTGGCGACAATACTCATTACTAGCACTTGGGACACACGCTGTGACCGATGCGGTACAGTGGACTCTGGCCCCACGATCAGCATGAGGATAATAAACAGTGCTGTCAAATAATTCAACTATTTAACAGACGCATATTGTGCAAACATGTCATACAATCCATGTATAGGTATAAATGGTATTATATTTAACATGAATATCAATATTAAATACCAGCTTGCAAAGCTAGGATCGAGGTTTTATAATGGATTATAATGCGAACAAGGTCGTTAGAGTTAGGTAAGGGGCTTTTGCTTGTAACCATATCTTGAAGCTAAAAGATGCAATCAAGATAACATAAAGAGTGTGCCATTTTAACAGTGTCACTTTAACATATGTATATGTTACTGGCCGTTAACGGCATGCCTTCAACCTGTCCAGAATTACTCATAAGAACTTAAGCAAAACGTAGGAGATGCACTGTCGCCCACATATGTATATGTTTAGTATGCAATCAATTGCTTGTGTAGACTGTAATTATTATGCCAGTTTGGATCTATTCTTATACTGTTTTGTTTACGAATTTTACGATTCAGCGGAATTAATAAACTCATGGCGGACTAAAACTGTTGCCAGCCTGCACTCGATGTAATCATATTAGCAGCTTCAATAACTATAGATGTGCATGTTTGTGATATCAGGCACTTGTCGTGCATTGAAGTTTACCCCTTTAATCCCTACAGGGTATTTCAGTTAAATCACGTGAGCACATTTGTATTTATGCTATCTAGGCTCTCGGAAAAACCTAGCAATGGGTAAAGAAATTTCGACACAGTCACTTTGTTTTATTGCTGCCAATTAAATGATAATACATAATTGAAATGGAAACAGTCCGTTTAAAGCACTAAACTAAACTACTATAGTGCAATACGAGTTATGTGCCAAGAATAAATGTGATTTTAATTTTTTATTAATATTAATGCCAAAGTCTTGGCGTTTATCGCACAGACTGTTGTATATCTATATAGACGCCAGGAACAGATGACTGTAGTGTGCTTTCTACATGACGATAAACGTGTACGCAATGCGATAAGCAAACGAAAGGTAAACTGTGCTAAACAAATTACAAGTGTACGTTAAGACAGTCTGGTTTTCGAGAATAATGGTTGCTGGTAAATAACTGCCGCATAACTAACATATATAAGAAATATAATCATAATAGCATTCATGTTATCCTTAATATCTCGTCTTAAGTGTCAAATCCTTTATGGATAACAATAATAATGTTGATGGTGTTGTTTGTAGGAGACCAAAACAAGCACACGATATGACTAAATTGTAAGCTAAACAGAGATAGAATTTTAACAAATGCAATCAGTTTAGCTTTTGATTGTAATCTCCATGAGATATACCCAATTAACGTTTGCAAAAGTTATTGTCGGTTGCACGAAATCGGTAGCACATTGCATGATAAATCTTTGACTAAATAACATATATATATAATAATCTTGAAACCGTATCAACAGCCAAGTCGAAATATGCATATGCGTTTGTCTATGCAAACTGGTCTTGCAATTTTAGGCTATTTTAATGCAAAGGAAAAGATCAAAACCATCAAATCAAAAATTAAGCTATGTGAAGAACGACACTGTGTAATATTATATGGGTATAGGTCTGCAGACGAAGGAATAGGCTTCCTTGTAACTGAAAAACTGTTCTCCGACTAATATATGGATTGGTAATATCAGCGCGTACATACGCACTCAGTTTCTCTTTTCAAAATGTTGGGATATAATCCAACATCAAACTTGCCGGTGCAAGCTTTCACTGTATTTGTATAGTGTACACTATTTGATATGTCGTATTTAAAGACGGACTTACCGTCACTTGGTACCAGCCAGCTCCATTGGGGACCAGTTTGCCAAATTTGCCGCGTGGAATGGGTGAACCGCGACGTCGAGAACTGGGACGGTCCTGCAAGCAAAAACAAAAAGGGTTTAAGGCGCATTGAATGAGCACAAAGACCGGGCTAAGCAAACCTTAATGGTTGTTATCATTTCGCTCATGTCATCATCCTCATCCCAACGACGCACATCCTGCAGACGCAGCTTGACATCGCTTTTGTGCGGGAACTGTGAGGTCTTGAAGCTGACGCGACGCTTGTTGCGATCCTTGCGGCGCTGGTGGTCGTCAGCATCTGCAATTGAGCCAAGGTTGAGTGAATAAATAAAGATTGGGCTAATGCCACACAGACAGCCTACCATCGTAGTCTTTTAGGGCGGAGAAGCGGGAACCGCCACCGCCGCCGCCAGCACTGCCGCTGCCATTGCCGACATTGTTGTTGTTGTAACGTGGCCCGCCGCCGCCTCCGCCGCGCTTAGGCATTGCTCACAAGCACACGGAACAGGAGTTAAGGGAATGGCACCAACCGCAGAAATGATAAACAAGGTCTTCTGGGTGCGCGCACACGTTGCAATTGTTGTTGTAATTGTTATATCGTTTATATTCCGACAAAATGGGCAAATGCGCAAAAATGCACTGCAAAAATAACAAAACTAACACAAATATTGTGTACAATATATTTACAAGATGTCGCAAGCAACTGAGATGCACGACGAAATATTTAAAGAGCGCGAATTTGCAACGCAATTTTATGAAATTCTCAGACTTTATGTATTTGTATTTGTGTAAATGACAGATGTCATGACAATGGCGTGCTGGTATTGTACAGCACTAACTGGTGCCTGACATACGTTTAGTGCTGTGCAATTCCAGTGCAACTTCATTCGATGTGGCAACGCTGACAGCTAAAAAAGCAATAGCCACACTTATAAATTTGCTCATTTGCTTTTGAAAACATTATTGGCGTGGACCGGCTGAATTCTTTTCACACAAAACATGTCGTTACAACGAAAGTGCCCATTCCATGTAACGATAGCCGAGACAGAGGTCAAGTTAGTGCAAAGTCTACGCGATGTACTGCAACGTTGCGCGAATCGGGCTCTCGAAAATAGTGGCACCTTCCGGGTCGGGCTCTCAGGTGCGTGTTTTTATATGCACATAAATACATGATAGATTGTGTGTGCATGTATGTGTGAGAAGCTCAACTTAAGGTGACCTTGCGCCGCATACTTTCATTCACAAAGTCAGTCATTAAAGGTCATTCATGTATACGATCAACAGGTGGCTCGCTTGTGCAGCTCTTGACCCGTGCCCTAGTATCCAGTAATCTGAACACAAAATGTTGGAAATTCTTTTTCTGCGATGAACGCTATGTCCCAGACAATGACAATGAATCCACCTTCTGGGCGTACAAAACTCAAATGCTAACAAAACTGCCCAATATTTCGGATAGTCAACTAATCAAGGCTGATACGACACTGTCATTGGATAACTGCGCCAGCGATTATGCGGCATGCATTAGGGACGAATTTGGTACAAGTTGTCCGGAGTTTGATTTGTTGCTTTTGGGTATGGGACCAGATGGACACACGTGCTCCTTGTTTCCAGAGCAACCAATTGCCCTGTCGGAAAGCAGCCGTATTGTCATTCCGATACGTAATTCACCTAAGCCACCGCCAGAACGTATCACATTTACCCTGCCACTGATAAATAATGCCAAAGATGTAGTCTTTGTTGTAACAGGTGCCAGTAAAGCTGATGTTGTTAAGGTATGAACAGCAATCAATTGGTAATAAAGTAATCAGCAGTTATATGTCATTTATTCTTTTACAGCGTGTTTTTGCAGACAAGGACAAAAACTTTCCCTCTGCTTGGGTAGAGCCGACACATGGGGATTTAACATTGATTGCAGACAAAGACGCAGGAGAAACATTTCTAAAACTATCCTGTCAATGTCCACATAATGCTAATTAACTATGTAAATTTGTAAATAATAAAAAAATGCTGATTTCGTTTGCACTAACTTTACTAAACTTGCTTTTAAATGCGCGCGCTTTGATGGTTTTATGCAGCACTAACAATGCGTATGACGTTGCCACTGGATTGCGTTGAGGGTGCTGCCAGACCAGTGCGAAATTCCCATTCAAGTGAAAATGTAAAAAAAAAGAACACAAACATTTACAAACCACCCACAAAACGCAATGCCGCGGCAATAATAGCAAAAAAAAAATTGTAACAGACATATTAAAGAACACCAACGCTGCTGCAATGCCTGACACCTACGGCCAATTCGATGCGGAACGCGTCTGTCGCGTGTGCCTGCGCGAGGTTGGCGAATTTTACTTCATCTACGATGAGGCGCCTGTGGAACAGGGCGCGAACATCGCTCAGATACTTAACGAGTGCACGCGCTACACCTGTGAGCGTTACGACAAGATGCCGCATCATATGTGCGACACCTGCATTAAAGCCGCCTGTCAGGCATATCGTTTTAAGCAGGACGCAGAGAAGGCCTATCGCTCGCTTGTGACCATACTGGGGCGCACACCCGTTACCAAGCCAAACAGCAGTGATGTGTGCACACAGACTGAGCAGGTGCCGATGTTGCCGTGCGGCATCTGCAACGATAAATTTCTGAACATTTTTGAACTACGCGTGCATAGCAAGCGGCAGCACATGCACATAGAGGAGCTTAAGTGCAAGCTGTGCGACGAACAATTCCAGCAGCTGCGCCAGCTGCGGAACCATCTCGTCGTGCAGCATGATCAACACTCGGCATCACCGTTGCTGCGTCGGCGTTTGGAATGTCGGGTCTGTCAACGCGCCTTCTCGCGACGTGATCATATGCTTCGCCATATGCGCTCTGTGCACAATGCGGATGGCCGGGGTCGGCTGGACCGGACGCTGGCCGAGAAGCAGGAAGTGCAATCCAATGTGGCCTGGCGGCCCATCGATGAGGCGACCATGCATAGCGGTGATGAACTGGAGTCGGCTGCCGTTTTATTCAATGATCCTGATGATAATGAGAATGACAACACCGAGAGCGGCTATCAATGCCACACTAATCCCATATCAAGCAACGAGGAAGGTGAAGACGAAGACATGCATGCTGAGGCTAAACAGTCACTCTGGCTGCACATTAAACCAGAGCCGGAGCCGGAACTCGAACACTGTCCGGAGACAATAGGGTCGCAAGTAAATCGCGACAAGCGCAGAAAAAGAGCAATTCTAAAAGTTGCAGCTCACACGGACACGGAGGATGAGAATGAGTGCGTGGACAAACAGAAAACTGCGGCTAGTGCATTGGCAGCTGAGGTAAAAGGTAAGTCACGGTTCACGAACCGTAAGGCCATAAAGATCTATAATTTCTCATTTTCTTATACAGAGGAGCCATCGGTCACCGGCGGTGAGCAACAATTGTCCATTAAGCAGGAGCGACAGCGTGTTGATAGCATCAAAGAGGACGAGGAATACGATATGGAGGCCGCAACAGCTGACATTTTGCACAGCGCAGATGAGGACGAAGACGGGGAAGAGTTCGGAAATGCGGAGAGTGACATTGATGAAGACGACGACGACGACGACGAAGATGGAGACGAACCGGATGACGAGCTGGAGACACAGGCCGTGCACAAATCTAAGCTGGCCCAGGGAGCCCAAGTGGAAATTGTGCGCGAGTATCTGCAGAAACCGGCAACTGGCAAGCAGCGACGTCGTCGACGCAAAAAACAAGCTGAAGCGGAAGCAAATCCAGAGAATCGCTGCGATATCTGCATGCGTACCTTTTCCCGTCATTGCCATTTGCTGCGCCACAAATTGTCGCATTTGGAAAAGAAGCCGCACAGCTGCCCGCATTGCCCCAAAGCATTTGCGCGCAGCGATCATTTAAAGGCGCACGTGCAGAGCCTGCACGGCAACAAGGAGCACAAATGCGTGCTATGCGATGCGGCGTTCGCCCGCCTCGACGCCCTCGAACGGCACAAGATGAGCAAGCACAATGGCGAGGGCCTGGACGCCAGCAGCGAGCTTAAGCTGCAAATGAACGAGCATACGTGCGAATACTGTGCCAAGCGATTCTCCAGCAAAACATATCTGCGCAAGCACACACTGCTCCATACTGAATTCCTCTATGCATGCAAGAGTTGCGACGAGACATTCAAGGAGCGCCAACAGTTACGTAGCCACGAGAAGACCCACACCGGCCAGCGTAATTTCCTCTGTTGCATATGCGGCGACAGTTTTGCACGCAACGACTATCTGCGCGTCCATATGCGACGACACAATGGCGAGAAGCCATACAAGTGCCGTTACTGCGTCAAGGCGTTTCCACGCGCGACAGATCTTAAGGTACATGAACGGTAAGAGACCCAACTGCGTGACCTAATCCAAAATGCAGACCATTTTTTTAATTTTTAATTTATATGCCATATTTTCAGCTATCACACGGGCACAAAACCCAACCTGTGCAACACGTGTGGCAAGAGCTTCCATCGCGC